CGTTTAATCTGACAAACCTTCTGTCTCAACTTTTCTGGATTTCTTTCCTCTTCTGTTGTTGGTTGCACTGAAAACCAAGCCCGAACTGGTCTAGCTTTGTTATAGGAAGGATGAGGTTAATCCTTCCTTGCAACATACTCCCAAATCCTCTTCCCACCTTAGAACCTCTTCCCAAGGTCTATTTGATCTCCATTTTAGTGCATTTAAAGAGCCGGGGTTTAGAAATCTTTCCTCCTTCAGCCATAAATATGGCATTCACAAGCTCTAAGAAGCGAAATAAACATTCTACCGCTTTATCATTTGTTTCTATGTATGGGGAATCAACGATCATACTCGCAATAATATCTTCTTCAGCATTTACAATTACCAAAGCCTCGTCGATGGCAAACTTGACTTTCTGGTGGAGCGTAGATGATACTGCTCCAACTTGGTGGATCCAAGGCTTGTGGAGGTATATATGGTCCCTATTCTTTTGAGACATTTTCTGTTAGTTAATGTGAAATGTAAAATCATGGAAAATATTAAAAGAAATGAAATGCAAGGTATGAAAATAATGCATGATGCATGAGAATTAGAGGCATTGATCCGAAAACATGTTTGTTATTATAAATAATCTTTATTGAGACAAAAGTGTTTTATTTTTTCAGAGAAAAAAATATCTTCAAGATATATTCTGACTAAATCCTCTAAACCCCAAATAACTTTTGACAATTCTTCTTTCTTCATCTATCACTGGTTGAATACCTTTTCGAACCACTTCGGCTTCCCTTGCTAAACTGTGCAAGTGACGAGCTATTTTTTGTACTTGTTCTAAGAAATCTCGGATAACTGCATCTCTAGCTTTCACCTTTTGTTGGGCCTGTACCCAACAAAAACACAACTGAAATCCCCCATCAAAGGAAACTATCTGAAGCTCACTTGCTTGTTTCTTGAACCTGTCCACAATGGCCTCCAATTCAGCTATGGTTTTTCTATCCCCTCCTGCTACTTCTGAAGAGATTTCTCTAAGTCAGTTACTTGAATCCTCAAACGCTTATTCTGGTGATGGTTGTCTAACAAATGTCTCTGAGAAGTCTTTGGCTATTTTTTTAAGGTCTATTTTTTCATTATGCCCTTCAAACTTCCTTTTTCGACTGCTAGTTTCACTTTTCCAATACTCAGAAGATCTATTCATATTAGAATTGCTTTGGACTTTTTCTTAATACCTTTTTCTCAAATCCTCAAGCTCAAAACAAATTTTCTTTTATTCCCTCTCTAACTTGTCTGCCCAATCCTTCTGAGTATCAGTATCCAACTTTCACTGGAATCTTTCAGCATCAAACATTTTCTTCCATGACTCAGTTACATTTTTGACTTTTTTTCTTGTAATTTTCCCTATGATATGCAAATTCTGATCTAGATATTCCATGAGTTATTAGGACAAACTAACGTGCCCCATACTGAAAAGGTGGAGAGTATCTAACTCCTCCCCATAATCCGAGTAATGTCATAGTTTCTGAGTCCCCACATCGGAAAAGAATATCACTATGAGTTAATTAGGGGGCTCTCTAGAAATATCCCCATCCTGAAGGTGTGTGAATATTTTCATTCACTTTTCTTTTGGGATATCTTCTTTCCATTTCAGGGTAAGGAATTCCCCCAAAAGAGAATAAGTGGTGTTGAATCGACGGTAAGAAATCTCGTTAGTCTTCTAGAAGTGACTATGAATCCAAACTTGAAGAAGCTGTGCACACCCTATAAATCTTCCTCCGCCAGTCTTTCTGTAATGGTTTAGGGAGCAAAAAGTTTTAGTTAAAATTGTCGATGCTAGATTTATTCGTCTCGGGAGTTGTTCGAACAGTTCCACCACAGCTGCCTCAATGTACCCTAAAATCTTCGGGAAGATAACCAAACCATAAAGGCTCAACGCGAAAAGGTCCATTGCCTTCCGTTCATCAGGGTGATTCTTCATTAGTTGCTTGATATGGGTTCAAGATTTTCCTTCCCCACTACCTTTATGTTGAATCCGGTCAGTTACCCATTTCTCATCTACCCTCGTAACTTTTGCCAGCTCGTTCTTGAAAGGCTGACTTTTGATGTTCTTGATGTAGACCCGATCCATTATGATTTCCTCGCAATGCAGCAATATGGTATACTCTTTGATTGTGGGTACCATGTCTTCTTGGTTAAAGGTGAAACAATTATACCCCGGATTTTATAATTGTACTAGGGCTCTGATTAAGGGTTCATCTATCTTGACATATAGTATAAGTGTGATATCACTATATCGCTAGCTGAACCTCTGCTTCTGGTCACTTTTCCAATTGTCCCAAATGCTCCGTAGTTCTTGAAAATCATTCTGCTTTAGGCTGACAGAAGCATAGCTAACCAGATCTAACACATAGTTTCTTTGCAGACTGTCTCCCTTTTCTTTATGAGTTTTTTCAGACCATAGTCGTACCTCGACGTTTTTCACCTCTTGCATTACAACCCCTTTGTCTATTAATGCAGATTATTTTTGTGTAGCGAACATTTTATTATGGATCAATTACCTCTTTTTATGATGCAAATGATAAAAAAGCAAACATGAAAGAAAAATCAGTTAGTAAGATAAAAATAATAATGATAAAAGTAAAAAAATGATAAACTGGATGATAAAAGTAAAAACATCCTAGGTTTTGAAATGGAGTTTCGGGGTGGGCTCTAATTCCCTATAGTCTTCCGGTTTAGGTTCTAAAAAAAAGGTACCCAAGTTTTCCTTGTTGGTGCCCCCTTAGGCTTGCCAGACCCTCAGTCCTAAGCCCATTACAAGCATATATGGACCAAGTTAAACTTGATAGGATACATTCCCTTATGTCCATATGGAGAATAAATTCCCACGAAGACATACGATATATGAATCCCGAAGGTTACTTGCTAGGCCTATACAAAGAAGAAATTTCCACGAAGGCATCGCTTTCACCTCCACTTAAGAAAATGTTTGGAGCTCGGGTATATAGCCTGAGATGGAAAAACTTTAATAAGTTGAAACCATTAAAAAAAGTCAGTACAACTATTTATTTGAAAAATAATCAAGGGTAAGTAATAAGGATCGAAAAATTAACTTAAAATTTAAACTTACAATTTTCACTTAAGAAGACAACCAGAAATTAGCCTTAGCCTGACTCATTTACATGTCCCCAGTGGAGTCGTCAAGCTGTAGAGTCGTCTTTCGGGTGGGCCCAGAATTGGGCTTTGACTTAAATAAATGGGTTAGAGTCGCCACTGATGATTTATTTTTTTTAAACATAAAAAAACTAGGTTGATCGGACACCTTCTTACCTGATCTGCATTTTACTAGAAATATGTCAGATTCGGGAGTTGGTTATAGTCAATGAAGGATTAGTACCCTTGTACTGCCCTTTCGGTACTAATTTAATTTACAGTTGTCTTAATTAAGAAAATTGCAAGTTAAATTAAAAAGTAAACATTCGATTCAAATTACTTACCGTTAATCGATTGAAATTACCTCTAAAAAGTTGAAAACGTTATATTATAAAATAAAAGAAATATCAAATAAAAATTAAATTAAAAAATAAAAAAAAGGAAATATTAAATTTTAAAAAATGTTATATAAAAATGTTAAAATAAAAAATAAAATAAATGAAGAAAATATTAAATTTCAAAAAAAATATAAAAAAATGTTAAAAGAGAAAATAAAATAAAATAAAAAGTGGGAAAATAAAAATAAAAGAAAATAAAAGAAAATAAGAAAAGAAAAGAAAAGAAGTGTTAAATAAAATAATAAATAATTGTAGTAAAGATAAAAAGGGAATTTTTAATAGTTGTTTTTAAAATAAAAGATAAGAATTAAATAAATTAAAATAATTAAATAAATAATCTAAAGAGATTGAGATAAAGAGAAACTTATAGTGAAAGCAGCCTCAGAAATTTCTCGAATCATCGAAATTGATATTTTCTTCAAAATTCACGTCAGTTTACAAGGACAATTCTTCGCTGACGATTTGGATTATGTTGTTTCAACAATAATTGGTTCCGATCTTATTTTCCTCTTAGCAAACAATTTTACTAAGTGTATTCTCTGAAAGTCGAATATGAATTCTCACGTTTGGAATTGAGCATTCACTTTAGCCTTCAGCTAGCTAAGCATGACCAAAGTCATACTTATCATAATTGTTGAAAACGAAATTTAAAAGAAAATAAAGAAGTGTGCAAAAAATAGAGAGAAAGCTAGAGAGAAAAATGAGATTTTATTCTCATATGTGTGTGTTCTTAGGCTTACCGTGAGAGGGTATTTATAGCATTCAAATTCCTAAAAACAAGCTAAAGATAATTCCTAAAATAATATATTTTATCCTAATTAAAACACTTAAAATTATTTAAACTAAAATACATAAAACAAATATAAAATAAAATAATATTTAAAATAATATCTTAAATCCTAATTGAAATACTAATATCTATTTAAACTAAATTACAAAGATAAAATATAATATTAATATATATACAAAATAAACCCCAGACGAAAATGAGTATCTACAGTAGTTTACTGTTTAAGTTGAAATAAGCTTCACTCAAAATGATTAACATTAAAACAATGGCAGTGGACTTTAATTTAACATTAGGATTTTAATGACAATAACCATTAAACTTGAATTGTCCAATTCAAGAAGCTAATGAACTAAATTCCTAAAATTAAAAGTAGAATGATTGAATTTCAAATGTACACAGAATTGAGAATGTTATAACACTCTGCCAATGACATCAAATTAACCAATGTTTCTGGCCAATGTACCATGGGAAATTAATTAAGCCTGAAAACTGCCACCATAAAAGTTTGACGTAGAATTGTGAACTCAGCTCCAGAACCAAATAAGAAAATGTACCTGAATCTACATTACAAATCGATATGCAGATATTCAACAAATGTATTGGTTATGGCATCAAATTTCCAGAATTCAGTCTTCATCCTATTAGTCGAAACCCTATTCGATTAGGCAGTTGCATATAGCAAAAAAAAATGTCAAAACATTTGGTATGCTATCTAGTGATAGAAAGGATTACAGCAAATCAAACTACAAACAGATGAGTTTAAAACAGCGCAGACTCATTGTATTCTTTTCTTGTAACTTCCATATGATTTCCAGATACAGCTTTACGATTACCTAATCTTTTATTGGCATAGAATATTGAAAAGCTTACGAAGTAGCATTTTCTATCAAATATGCCTCCAAGCAGTGCAGCAAATGCTCGCTTGACAACATTTTACAACCGGGGGTGAAGGTTATTCTGGTAGAAACAGTATCACACAGATTGTAAGCTATGTTGTTTGCAAAGCTTCCTGTAAGCATGTAACCGCACCTTCATAATTTAAGAAGCCCATGAACCAAAATTCATGACTATCAACAGAGATAACTTGGATGTACTTTTCAGAAGGATTGACTCGGCTTGTTGAAGGATTAATTGATTTAAGTTGATGTAGTGGGATAACTACCTGTTTAAGCCAACCAAAGGGATGTCAAGAATCATAACAGAAACATGCAACCAACTGCTTTAATGCAAAAGGTTATCGATGTGATACAACTTTGTCATCCTGAAGCGGAGAGGAAATATGATCTCATTGCTACCAGTCTATAAATGGAAGCATGTAAGGTTAATGTAAACAAACCTTGTAGTAGCTCCATTCCGTCTTGCTACTGTTTTGGTAGGAAAGAGGACTGTCACTGCAATATGCTAGCTTTGCTGTAGATACATATAAAACTCCCATGACAGGACCAGCTGATGTGGATAAGTAACATGCAAATGAATTTTGAAGCTGCTCTTCTGGAACTGTCTCAAAAGTTTGTCTAAAAATCTTCTCATAGCCACCTTCCGCTAGAACCTTTGTTCCCTGAGCAATTCTTCCCATGGCAGCCTCAGCAAAACTAGGGCTTGTTTTTACTGATGAAGAAAAGAGGGAAAAACATATGTTCAGTAATTTTATGTATGTGAAACTGCATGATAAGCAAGAATATAGGACAGGGGGAGAGAGCAAGGGTCATGAACAAAAGAAAAAAGAATCCATAAAAAATAGCATATGATTTTAATTTAAAAATGTAGACATAATTTTCCATATATCTTTGTTTTATAAAATTGAATATTTGACAGTATATTCTTATATCCAAACAAAAGCAAGAGTATGATTCTAAAGGCAATCACCATACAAGACCAATAGAGAAGAGACCAGACAAGATTAAGGGCACATAAGATCATTATTTTGTGGTCATCCAATGTGTGAACAAGTTGAGGATATTCATAGTGCAAGAGTTGTCATCAACAAATGTACATGAGACCTGAACAATGAAATAGCAAACATTGTTTGGATGGTAATAATTATATTCATTAGCAGAAACGAGAATGTATATTTTAACATATTTAACATATGGGTAGGTTTGAGCATCATTAAGGGTGAACCAGATGATCATTTATGATTTAAAAAATAATACTAGGGTTAAACTTGAAATTATTAACTCGCTTCTAAGTTCTAGTCCAAGGTCAAATACAAGAGATTGGAGACGATGAGAGAACAAACAACAAAGATTAATCTTACCAACTATTGGGACCTAAGGAATGCAATCTCATGAATCTATATAGCTGTCTCGTCAATCTGAGAAGAGAGACTAGAAAGCTAATCCTAACCACTGGGACATATGGAAGCAGTAACTACAAAATCTCTGGACACTAGAGCTATGTGATGCCCCCAGTTTTACCTACCCTTAAATCTTACATGAAATTCTATTCTTTCCCAAGTAAATAGTTAAGACGAATTGTTGACTACAACCAACATTTGACTAAATTGATAATTGCATTTCCATACAACACCTGCTGAAAACATGTTTAAAAAAAACAATGAAGATTATCACTTCCTCTACCTTTCCTTAACACAAAATCTAAAATTGTCCAACCATTTGAAAAAAAATGATGCTTACATAATATCCTTTATTACTCCTTGAACTAGTGAGGTAACACCAACCCAACAAAAGAAATAGTAGTGTACCCTAGCCTTAATCCAGATAGTAATCCCTAATTCAATATCTGAGATTTCAATTTTCAAAAACTTAATATCAATAGCAACAACCCAAAGAATCACATAGTTACATCTCATTGCAAACTAAAGCAAATCAAATTACCAAGCCATCATTATCGATTCTAACTTAAAAGCACATAGATTGCAAACTAATCCAAACCAGATATAATCACACAAATACAATCAAGTAGGAAAACAGTAAAAAAATTAAAAATAGAAAGCATTAAGAATTTTAAAAGAAAAATACAGTGCTGCCACGTGTTCCCGGCCAGATCCTCCGCTTTCTTCGTCGCTTCTGTCACTTTCCTCCCCCATCTCCCCAAGACATCCTTAACTACATCCATCGTCTCTGTTTCCAAATTCAAAAATAAATAATTTAATCATCAAAATTATCAAATAAAAGATCAAGTTAGAAATAAAATGTGTAATGGCTTGCCTTTGAAGGAAGCCGAAGAAGATTCTGGAGGCGGAGCATGAGCAACGTAAGGATTGGATCTATAAGGAGCTGATATGGTCGCACTGTGATCCACAGCACGCGATTCACTTACCAGATCCGGACTCCAGTGAACTAAATTTCTCGAACCGGATGGCGACTGGACCGGTGATTGCGGGCTTTGAACCTGACTTGCTTTCAGATCCCGAGTCTCTTTCTCTTCCTTTTCCTGTGGCTCTGATGTAGGCACCATAACGAAGCCCTCCGCGTCCATTGCGGGATCCGAATCTCTCGGGTTCGGTTCTCGGGACGGAGACAGAGTGGTGCTGGATTTTGGTTGGGTTTCCATCTTCGATTGTTCCATTAACGTTCGAGGAAAAGAAGTTGCGGGTGAAGTATGGTTGAAATTTAGCAGGCCCTGTTATTTAAACTTCAATTTGTTCAAAAAGAAGGGGTAAAGTACAGCAGATAACACTTAATTGTTTACATTGATTCATTTATACCATTAAATTTTTTATTTTATCAATTATAGTACAGAATTTTAGTTCAATTATACTATTCTTTCGTTAAGTTGGTAACTATTAGTTTTATATTTTTTCTTTTGAAATAGAAAATAACAAAATATATTTAATAGTTGTTGATGTGATTACCATACCATCAAAAAGCCAAAAATCAGGACAAGAAATGTTAACTTACTGAAATCTAAAGTCCTACTACTATTGAATATTGCTCATTTTTTTTGTTGATTATTGAATATCGAATAAGAAGAATTAAAAATTGATGAAAAATCGTAAAAACATAAAATTGTTAAAGAAGGGTTGAGGTTTTTGATGGCTAAGGATGAATCAAAATTTAAAAGTTTGAATCTTGGGCATGAGACGAAAAATACTTTGTGAAAAAGAATTATTTAGGACTTCATGTTGCATCAATTATCAAGTTCTAACTTCTAAGAAAGATTAGTCACAAAAAAAGTAAAAACTAAAATATTATCCTAAGTGTAGTAATCGTCCTTCATGTGGACCCGGAATCAGTCTTCGACTTAAATTGAACATGTTAGAGCCTCCACCGATCATTTTATTTTTCAAATTAGGTTGACAGGACACCTCAATTGATCATCTTACCTAATCTGCGTTTTACCAGAAATATGTCGGGTTCGAGAGTCGATTGCAGTCAATGAAGGATTAGCACCCTTGCATTTCCCTTTCGGTACCAATTTTAATTTTCCGGTTATATTAATTGCTAAAATTGAAAGTTAAATTGAAAATTAAAGATTTGATCCGAATTACTTACATTTGATCGATTTAAAACTGTTCTAAAAAAACAAAGCCAAAAAATATTAAATAATAAAAGTAAATAAAATAATAAAAAGGATATTAAAGTAAATAAAAAATTATTTTAAATAGTATATACATTCATTTTCGTCCGATTTTTTTTATTTATATATATATATATATATATATATATATATATATATTATAGTTTGCAAATGTTTTAGAAATACATATAATATATATAGTTTTGAAAATGGGTTTTGGAAATATATATATTATATAGTTTTTGAAAAACATTTTCAAAATATATATATTATATAGTTTTTGAAAAACATTTTCAAAATATATATATAATATATATATTTTTTTAAAAATTTGAAAATATATATAATATATAGTTTTTGAAAAACATTTTGAAAATATATATATATATAATATATAGTTTTTAAAACATTTTGAAAATATATATATATAATATATAGTTTTTAAAACATTTTGAAAATATATATGTCGCGGCCGTCTTTTGGTTGGGCTCGGAATTGGGCTTCGACTTGAATAATTGGGTTAGAGTAGCCACCGATCACTTTAAAAAATATTTAGGTGGATTGAACACCATTTTACCTGATCTGTGTTTTACCAGAAATGTGTCGGGTTCGAGAGTCGATTACAGTCAAGGAAGGATTAGCACCCTTGAAGTGCCCTTTCGGTACCAATTAATTTGTCGGTTGTCTTAATTGCGAAAAATTAAAAAATTAAATTAAAATTTAAAACATTCGATTCGAATTACCAACCTTTGATCGATTGGAAGTATCCCTAAACAGTCAAAAATGTTAGATTGTAAAAAAATAAAAACAAACATGAAAAAAGAATAATAAAAAACATTAATATAATAATAGTAATAATAAAATAAATAAAATAGATAAATAGAGATAGATAATTGTTAGTAAAAAATAAATAAATAAATAAATAAAATAAAATGGTTAAATATTGAAAAAAAACTGGAAAATGTTTTTTTTTTAAATAAATATTAAAAAATGAAAAATAAAAAATAAAAAAAGGATCAAAATGCAACAATTAAAACAGTAGTGTCTAAATAAAAAAAGGAAAAAGAAAATAGTGGCTAAATTAAAACATGCATAAATTCCTAGGCTATTTTCAAATAAAACATAAAATAGGGACTAGAATGTAAAAATAATATATTCAAATTCCAAATTGAAATACTAAAAATTAAATTCAGTGGCTATAATGTGAAGAGTACAATTTATAGGGATTATGGATGTAATTTACCCGTGCAAAAAATACGCAAATGCCCCCACTAAAACTATGTCGTTTTCCTTAAGCTATATATTTTTTCCCTTAAGCCAAAATGACTCATTTTTCCCATTTGCTTCTCTCACTAAAAAAGAGGGAAGAGAATTCTCTCTGCCTTCTCTCTAAAAACCCTCAACCAAAGGGATGGTCGACCAACGTCGATCGTCGTCCCGACCATCGTGGACCGTCGCCCTGGCCGCCGTCATTGGCGGTCGGAAAAAACAACCTAGCCTCAAAATGCTCCCCTCATTACCGTGAAACTAAAACTGAAGCCTAACTCAACAAAACCCCCATGAATCGGTGTAGATCTAGGAAAAGAGCTTCGATTTTTTTACCTTTGATTCGTCGACTCTTCACCTTCCGATGATCGCCTCCTTCCCGAGTATAGATCGGGTTTCTTTTTTATTTTTTTGTGTGGTTTGCTACTGACTTCTTTGTTAATTTTTGGCTTGATTTCTCACGTATTTGTCACTCCGGTGTTTGGCTGTGTTGTTTTTTTTGGTTCGATGGTTTTGGTTTTCGGACGTTGGTTGTTGATGGTGGTTCTATGTGTTTTGATGTGATTAGTTTCGTGCCTCTGTTGGTTCTGCTGTGTTCTGACATGTTCTTCCCCCGTTGGTTTCTGTGGTTATTTATACCACTCCTTTGGGGGTCGATTGTCGATCTTGGAGGGGTCGTTCCCCTCGTTTCAGGCTTAACAACGTTCACGTGGCTGGGAATCCCGGGACTGTGCAATCCCAGTTTTCCCGGTCGGCCGGTTCACCCTTTAACTGCATTGCTCCCCCTGTACAACGCCTTTTTGTAAACTATCTATGAAACCCTAATCGAGTTTTTAGGATGGGTCAGGCCCAAACCCGGTTAGGTTACTGCTGGACCCGAACGTTGGACCCATATTTTGGAAATGGACCAAATTTTTAAAAAAGAATTAATAAAACAAATAAATAAAATAATAATATACTAATAATAATATAATATATATTTCAAAAATATTTTTAAACTATATTTTATTTTTTTTAAAGGTTTTCAAAACTATATATTATATAGTTTTCAATAATGATTTAAAAATATATATAAGTTTTCAAAAAATGTTTTTAAAACTATATATTATATAAGATTTTCAAAAATGTTTTTAAAACTATATATTATATAAGTTGTTCAAAATGTTGATTTCAAAACTATATATTATATAAATTTTCAAAATGTTTTAAAAACCATATATTATATATTTTCAAAATATTTTTTAAAAACTATATATTATATAATTTTCAAAATGACTTCAATATATATATATATATATATATATATATAAAAGATAAATAAATAAATGCGGACGAAAATTAGTGTTTACAGCTGCCTCTCTTTGTCCTTTTTGTGGAAAGAAAAATAGGACAAAGACAAAAGGACACAAATTTTCGTTCGGTAGAGTTGAAAAATTGACTATGATATTTCAATTAAGAATAACTCCCTGTCAAATTGAGTTTCGGATGACTCCTCCGTTGCGAAGTCGAGTCCATCTTGAAATGATATGGAATTGAAACTGTAGTTCAGGATTTGAATTGGGAGGCGACTTCTTGTTGTCAAATTGTAGTCAACTTCGGTCTTCTTCTCAGTTTAAAGGCCTTGGTTTGAAAATTTTACTGGAAAGTAGTTCTTCGATACTGCCATGTGGCTGATAGGCTTTCAAGATGAATGAAATCAAACTCGAAAGTTTTCATTGTCCCATAACCCTTCTCACCTTAAGTTATGTTGTACTAAGTTGAGAGATTGCCCCAGATCTTTGACTTAAAGACCTCAACTTCAACCAGAAAGTAGTTTCTCGATGCTACATTTGGTTGATGTGTCATCGAGGGCAGTTTTTGTTGACAGATAACTTTTCTCGACTTAAGTTATGGTGTGAATTTGGCATGCCCTTGAGCTGAATGGAATCAAACTCGAAGGTATTTGCTGACAGATAACCCTTCTCACCTTGAGTTATGCTGTAAATTGGGTATGCATTTGAGCTGAATATAATCGAACTCGAATGTATTTTGACAGATAGCCCTTCTCGCCTTAAGTTATACTATAAATTTGATGTGCCTTTGAGCTGAGTGTAATCGAACTCGAAGGTCTTGGTTGACAGATAACCCTTCTCGCATTGAGTTATGCTGTAAATTTGATATGCCTTAGAACTGAGTGTAATCGAACTAGAAGGTATTTTGACAGATAGCCCTTCTCGCCTTGAGGTATGCTATAAATTTGATGTGCCTTTGAGCTGAGTGTAATCGAACTCAAAGGTCTTGGTTAACAGATAACCCTTCTCGTCTTGAGTTATGCTATAAATTTGATATGCCTTTGAGGTGAGTGTAATTGAACTCAAAGGTCTTTCAAAGATAGCCCTTCTCACCTTGAGATATACTATAAATTTGATGTGCCTTTGAGCTGAATGTAATCAAACTCAAAGGTCTTGGTTGACAGATAACCCTTCTCGCCTTGAGTTATGCTGTAAATTTGATGTGCCTTTGAGATAAATGTAATCGAACTTGAAGGTCTTTTGTTGGCAGTTAACCCTTCTCGACTTGAGTTATGATGCGAATTGTTCCTTTAAGTGAAAAAAATGGCTCCCCTTTACGGGTCTAAGCCGGTCATAATTCTCAGGTGGTTCTCCTGAGCGGGTCTGAACTAGGTGAGATGATCTTTGGATGACTCCCCTTCATGGGAAAGTCATGTGGTAAATTCTTTCAGCCTAATATCATCCATCGTGGAGTTGAAATCTAGCTTGAAAATGTTAACTGGAGACTAGCCACTCGTCGTTGAGTTAAGCT